ATACACATATATAATATAAGTATATATAATATAAGTATATATACTATATATATATATATATATATATATATATATATATATATATATATATATATATATATATATACATATATATAGTATGCATATATAATATATACATATACTATATATGTATATACACATATATAATATAAGTATATATAATATAAGTATATATACTATATATATATATATATATATATATATATATATATATATATATATATATATATATATATATATATATATATATATATATATATATATATATATATATATATATATATATATATATATATGTATTATATAAATAAGAAAAACATATATAATATATATTTTATATTTATATAATATATCAAGTAGTCTCTATTTTATTAGAGACTACTTTTAATATTTACCTAACTAACTGCATTACAAGTTAAGCCATGTATTATTGTTAAATTGTCAAATTCAAAACCTTATAAAAAGGCAACAGATGACCTAATTTATTAGCATGTGTGACTTTAATTGTTTTTATTGGGCTAATAAGTAACTTGTTAAGTCTTTACTTGTTATTTGTTATGTTGATAAAAAAATTTTAAGTCACGCATGCGTATTTTAGTTATCATATTGCAATTACGAACGATCGAACTCGTAATATAGACGTTGAATTAACGTGGAATCAACGTCGATTTTATTTGATAGTTTTAAACAAATTTTTCAACGTCGATACAACGTTGATTTTTGGTTATACGACGTCGCGACTAAAAATCAACTGTAAATCAACGTCGAAATAACGTCGTGTGCCCACTGGGTCTTATACTATAAATTATATAATATGTAACAAAAGGGTCGCCTCATTTATTATAAAAATATTTTTATAATAACATGTTACATAGAAAGTTAGGAGTCGAAGCATAAATTTTTATGGCCAAGATTACAGAGTCCGTAAACATGACCAATCAGTAATGCAGTTTATAATCCCAAACGTTTTAAAAATAACTGAAATAAAAACATTTTAAATACCATCAGAGTTTTGTTTTTCCTTTTATAACAAATCTAAATGGATTTTATTCTCTAAAGTTTAGATATAAAAGATTGTGTTTTATTTATTATTAAAAGAAAAACAAAACTCTGTTGAAAATAGAACTTTTCATTCGTTTAGATTCTAAACGCATAGAAATTCTATTTTTTTAACTTGAGAAAATTCGATTTACTTTAAAGATAAAAGTGGAAACTTGTATTACGCGTATTACTTACACGTATTTTCAACACGTGTTTTCATGTACACTTATAACAAATTTTAATCATGTTTTACATAAATCCACTTTTGGAAAAACTTTTCAACAAATTTTAGGTAAACCACTTTAAGTTAACGTTCAAACATGTATTAAATAAATCCACTTTACGCTAAATTTTCATCATGTTTTAAAAAAATCTACTGAAGACGAATTTTAAATACATTTTAAATAAAGACCCCTTTAAAACAAATTTTTAAACATGTTTTAAATAAATCCACTTTAAGAGATGTTTTTAATAACATTTAAAATAAATCTGCTTTAAGCGAACTTTTCATACATATTTTAATAAAGACCACTTTGAGCAAAGTTTCAAACATCTCATCAATAAATCCACTTTAAGCTAAATTTTATAAAAATATATCTTAGGAGAATTTTAAAACACATTTTAGATAAATCTTTTTTATAAACATTGTCAAACATCTCTTAAGTATATCCACTTTATGCTAAGTTCATACATATTTTAAAAAAATTTACATTGGTTGAGTTTTCAAACATGTTTCTAATAAATCCACTTTAGGTAAAGTTTTAAACATTTTGAAATAAATCCACTTTAGGCGAAGCTTTAAACATCTCTTAAATAAATCCACTTTAAGTTTTATTTTATACATGTTTCAGCAAATTTAAGTTTTTAAAGCGCGTTTTAAATAAACCCATTTAAGACAAAGTTTCGAACTTTATTAAATCTATTTTAAACGAATTTTCTATTATGTTATCAATAAATCAACTTTAGACCATAGTCATTAGAATTCTTTTCACGACTATGATTAGACAAAGTTTACACATGTTTTCATTAAATCTTACTTAAAAAGAATTATCCCACCCAGTCTCTTTATCATACCATAAATGCCAATGTTTATTTATCTTAACAATCCCGATGTTTATTCATCTTAACAATTTTGATGAAATCTACGTTCGAAAATTAAACTACCTCGATTATTGTATAAAATATTAGGTAAATGTGGAATAGTCCTCTTTAAGTCGATCTAACGTTATTATTTTCGTTAAGTGGATCCTTAACTGATAAAAAAACGCTAAGTGGACTTTTTTTTTTTTTTTACATTTTTTTGGCATACAATACTCTCGTTCGCTTAAAATCCATTTAAGATTACTTTTTAACTTGGTTTTGTTTAATAAAAGCATTTTTAATAAAAAATTTCGAAGGTTTTGTAAAATGCCACTTTCAGTCAAAATTTTTACAAAAGGCCACTTTAAGTCGATCTAGCGTTATATATATATATTTATATATATATATATATATATATATATATATATATATATATATATATATATATATATATATATATATATATATATATATATATATATGTATATATATATATATATATATATATATATATATATATATATATATATATATATATATATATATATATATATATATATATATATATATATACCCATATAGTGTAGTCGAAAGAGCGTTTTAATGTAAAAAAAGTATCATACGACTACAATTTTAATTACCTCGTCTCTTAAGCTGTTTTTGATTGCCATCGAAATGTCAAAGCAATTAATTTATGCGGAAGTACATTAAATTTAATTGTTTTTTAAAAAATTTTTAAAAAACCGCAATTATAACGACTAGAAAGTTTTTTTTAATTAGTGGTGATTGATTTAATAAAAAAAAATTTTAAAACATGCGTAAATGTTGCTACATCGACTATCTTATAGCCTGACTCGCAACTGAGTGCTGCTACATCGACTGACAAATAGCCTGACTCGCAACGGAGTGCTGCTACATCGAAAACGTATCATTCAATTTCGACATTGTATCAGTTCATTTCGACAATGTTTCATTTAATTTCGACACTGTTGCATTTGATTTCGACTGTTTTACATTCAATTTTGACAGCGGTAATAATACTTAAATTAATATACAAATAAAGCAGTTAGATTCTTTCTAAATTCATTTAGATAATATAATTTTTTAGTTTGGATACAAACTAAAATCTAAACAAAAAAATTATCGTATATAAAGTATTGTAATTCCAAATACTTGCAAATAAAAATAAAAATTACAAAAGTAAGTTTATTCCTCAATAACTGGTTCTCTTCTTGAACACGGAATCATATACCTCAGTACGTGCGCAAAATAATTATTACAGTTTGTGCTAGTAATATTCAATTCATCGTTTTGTATATTTTCAAACAGTTCCTTCTCAGTCCTAGACGAACTTCTTCTGATAAATTGTTTTCATTCAGAAAACATATTTTCAATAGGGTTTAAAATGGGGGAATGTGGAGGTAAAAAAATCAAAGAATGCCCATCACGTACTATTTCATTATGAACAACAATTTATCCGGTCAATAAAAATAATGAAAATAGGAATTAAAAACAACTATTATGGTAACTTGAAATAATTACTATCCACTTTGTTTATTTCACCTATATATTTTACGTATATCCAAAAAAATATTGAAACCATATTCATGATGTCAGTACCCACTTTTAATAATGCAGAATTAAAAAAATAGCCACATTAACTATTTTATTGTCCCGATTAAATTCAACCAATTATTATTTAACAAAAATTTTCATCATAAATATAAATACTTTAATTTAAAATAGAGTGTTTTTAAATTGTCGAAATGTGATGAAACAGTGTCGAAATTGAATGCAAAAGTATTGAAATGTAGTGATACAATGTCGAAATTGAATGCAAAAGTGTTGAAATGTAGTGATACATTGTCGAAATGAGGTGAAAAACCCTGTAAAATGCTCTATGTAGTTAAGAACCGCAGCCATTTTAAAAGATCAAAGTTTGTAGTTATTTTCTAACGCATGCGCACCTAAACATAGCGCTTGTAAACAACCGTGAACTTCGATGATGTGTTTGCTGATAATGGTTTTGCCTTTGCCCTAATTAAAAATGGCTTTTATAAAAAACTTTTTAAAATTTTCCCCCTATTGCAAATGATGAATTATATTTGTAAACATAAAAAAACCGACTTTACATATCGTCCAATAAAGTCTAACAAGTTTGACATTTAGTATATATAAATATATTATTGGCATTTTTGCGCAACTTAACTAAATATTTCAACTAGCTTCAATCCCCTAACCCGAAAGTACGCAACTTTGATCGTGTATGCTTTTATTTTTTAAATAAGAGACTGCAAATAAGACTATTTTTAGAAAACTATTTCCTTGTCTGAATCATTATCAAAAATTAATTGAATACTAATTAAAGCCATAATAAAAAGTTTAGAAAACATTTAAAAATATAACAAACAAGTTTAAAACTATTTCTGCAAGTAAACTAAAACCGATTTTAGTTAAAAAAATAATGTACTAGTTTATATGAGTCAAGCTTTAGTAAACTTTTTATTTTTGATAATTAAGCTGTTTTTCAGTAAGAAACTAATTTTACTAAAAGTTCAACTATTATTTCTATTTATTTAACCAATATATCACATTAACATAACACAGTTAAAATATTTGAGCACAATATACAATTGAGAAGAACACTTTAAATAAAAAGATAATTAGTACGCGCAGTTAAATGAAAATTCATTCGATTGCAATTTAATTATGTTAATTATAGATAACTTTAAATATAAGAAACTTTTAAGAAATTTTTAGTGCTATATATAGAGAAATATTGAAATTTTAAAATATGAAAAAATCTTGTACTAGCCCATTTAATTGTTTTTTTTTTTTTTAAAAAATAATGTGTTTAAAAACATAAGAAAAATTAGAAATTAATTATTAGAACCAACTTATAAAAAATATAACAAAAACTTTTCACAAAAACTGAGCAAAAGTACAAACACATTAATTTACTTCTTCACTTGAACTCTTCCTCATTTCAAATGGAATGGTAAAACTTTGTTTCTGTGAATAATCTAGAATAACAAAACTAACAAGTTTAGTGTTTTTAATATTTACAAAAAACTATAATCAATATCAAGGATTATAGTTTTGTATTCAAAGATCTTTGAAATGATCAGGCTCGTCACTTTTAGAAAATAAATAAACAAATAAAAATTAAAAGGAATAAAAAAATTCAATATACCAGAATCTTTTTTCTTCAGTAAACCAGAACTCCATTTTTCTCGTATTAGTGACACCCAATGGTCTTTAACCTGTTTATTTTGAAAAGCGTAGGCAATAAAAATAAAAAAGCCTTGCAACGAGTTAAAAATACAAAACAACCATTGAAATATATCTCGCGCATCTCCGTAAGCTAAAACTCCAAATATCCAGGTTGAACCAAGTAATAAAGAGCATACTAATGCACTTCGAACGTTTTTTTTACAGCCGCATTTGCTATGTAGAACAGATTTCTTTGTAATACTTCTGAGAACAAACGTTAAAACTAAAATATTGCCAGTCATTACAACACCAACAGGTATAAGTATGCCAATATAAAATGGAATACCATGATGCATGCATCTAAAATAAATGTAAAATTGAAAAGAAACTTTTGCATAATATCACCTTTTTTCTTCTGTTTTTTAAAGAAAAAAGAGGGAAGGGTATTATTTAATAAACAAAAAAATGACGTATTTAAGAGTAAAAACTTTTTTTACTATGCGTTTAAAAAAATTATTTTGATCTTACATGTTAGGATTATATTCAGTTTGAGTTTCAAGGTAATAGGTTTTACTAACAGCAGTTGCTATAGTAAATATTAGAGGTATGCCTGAAGAAAACAAAAAAAAAAATTATCAAGATTTTGATACAAGAGGTTTTAAAAAAGTTTTTATTTATATACTGTAATAAATAACATTTACTTTATAAATCAAAAGTTAATATACTTACCCCATGCAAAAAAAGAACACTTCAATAAAAAATTACGTGACTTGGTTGAATTGCTAAACACTTTTACGAACATTCTATATAAATTGAAACCTTCAACTGCCATCCAGAAGAATGTTGACAAAATAAAAAACTGCAACATTGAAGCAACAATCTTGCACAAAATAGGAGAGTTGGTTCGTTCCACAAAAGCGACAAATAAAATAAGCGTAGACATCAGATTTATGCATAGAATTATAAGTATTTTTGGAGCGCGTTTTTCTCGTAATTTTCTAAAACTAATGAAATACCGACAAAAAAAGTAAAAAATTTTAATTACCTTCCATAAATTTGTCAGATGTAAAATATGTTGTGTATTTTACAAAAAAGGTTTTAAATGTTATTAAAAAACAGATCAGTAATAAATTAGTTAAAAAAACTAACTTGAGCTTTCATTTTCTTTTTTAGCAGAATCACCAAAAACTTCTTGATGATCCTGCTGAAGAAGTAAATAACAGTAAAGACTTAAGTTAGATAAGTGTTTTTTTACGTATATGGAGTCATTGCAAAATTACGTAGCACAAAAAATGCCCAAAATTAAAACACCCACACACCCTGTCATGTCTGGACACAGTTCCTTATTACCATTCAGCCACCTTACCAGTTCGTCGTCATTTTATTATTGTTTACACAATTGAAGAATTATTTTTCAAAAAAATTTAAAATGTTTATATTCAACTGCATATATTAATTTTTGTTATCAAAAGCATTTTTTTTCAACTCTAGTAGTATTATACTGTTTGTAATTGCACAAATTCATTAAAAATGTTTTGGATTAAAACAGTTCAGAAGGATCACGTAAATAACTCTGGAACACGAAGAGATACAATCAAAACGCAATTACACGATTTTTTTTCTCCAAATAAATACTTTCTAACTCGTTTCATAAAACCTGAACCTCTCTTAGTCGAGTTTTGATTTTTCCGGATATGCAAGAACATAAGTATTCACAACCCAGCCGGCACAATGACGTTGAAATAACGTTGAAACAACGTCGCAAACCGACCATATGCCACGTTGAAACAACGTTGAAATTTGGTTGAATTGGAAATAAAATCCGACGTCGAAAACTACGACGTTGAAACAACGTCGATGATTACGTCGTTTCAACGTTGATCTAACGTCTTATCGACTGCATATCAACCATATTTCAACTTTGAATAGGTGATATATTCTATTGAAACGTAGTTGATAAGACGTTAAAACAACGTTGAAACAACGTAAATTCAACGTTGATTTTTTGTTTTTTATTTTGGTTAAATCCAATTAACTAAAAAATTTTCTTAACTTTAATTGCAATAAAATAACACAATAAAAAAGCAATAATTTGCGCAGAGGATATTATATTTCACGTAAATTAATCAGATACAACTAAATTGCTTCAACGGACTTTATATACAATGCAAATAAAATAAAATGTTTGAAAAAAAAAAGTTTTATTTATCAGTAATATATTTATCAATTTATCAATAATAACTATTATTAATAGTTCCAGAACAACTAGGAAAAAAGTATGAATGTTATACATCGGGTTTATCGCCCTTTTACGCGCCGACCACCACCATTTGATCTGTCGAGTGCGTATTTTAATAAAGTCATTATTCCTTTTCTTATTTCGGCAACTGTAGCAGTCACTTTAATTGACAAAACTCTCTCTATAAAAAAGGTATTGCCTGAGTAACTTTCATCAAATACATCAAAAAGTTAAAAATAAAATAGCATTAAAAAAACGAACTGTGATTTTTAAAAAATATATAATTTTACACTTAACTTACAAGTAAATACCTAACGTTTGTTCCTTTAAACTTCTTTTTACCTTTACCGCCAGCCATATTAAATTTTGATTATAAACCCATTGGTCAACAACCTGCATTATACATTGTTATTATAGTTACATTAAAAATTGATAAACATGTCTTAGACAAAATAGAAATTATTCTCAATGAAAAATTGCACAAACCGCAAAGGTTTCTTACCAAACCGAAATGCAAGTAAGAAAAAAAATTGATACAGGGGAAGAGTTGTGTCCAAGGAGACCACCTTCTAAACGCAAGAAAACACCAAGAGCGGACAGTATAATCAGAAATATCTGCCTGGAAAACAGAAAAAAAAGCCACTAAGCTTATCCATGAAGCTGTAATTGTTGTGTCAGACCGGACCATTTGTAGAAGGCTAAAAGAAGAGGGATTGATGTCCAGCCCAAAAAAGTCAAAAATTGACAAAAAAAAATTAAAAATATTAAAAATAATGTCAAAAATCTTATATTTATGCAAGATGGTTCAACTTGCCAAACAATAAAAACTTTTATGGCTTAGTTGATGTATTGCTATAGCCAGACAAACCGCATGATCTTAACCCCATAGAAAACATTTAGGAAATAGTAAAGCAAGAGATTGGAAAAAAAAATCTTACTAATAAGCAAGATCATATGGAAGAGATTATCAAGATCTGGTATAATAATCAAATGTTGACAGAAACTATGAAAAATAAATTGCAAGCATGCCACAATGAAATGAAGTAGTTATTGCAAATAAAAGTGTTTTTGCAAAATAATTATACTTTATATATATTTTATATAATTTATCATAATAACCAATGAATATTCAAAATGTTCAACTTTATTTATTTATTTTTATCAAGTACAACTTTATAAATAAAAGAAAAAATTTAAATTGAACCATTATTGTATATATATATATATATATATATATATATATATATATATATATATATATATATATATATATATATATATATATATATATATATATATATATATATATATATATATATATATATATCTACAATAATGACAAGAAAAAGTTTACAAGAAAAACCAGACCAGAAAAAGTTTACAAACTTAAGTTATTTTTTTTTTAAAATGATAGACTGCCTGCCCAAACCAAACCCTCAGTCGATGTAGCAGCACTCCCTTGCGAGTCAGGCTATTTGTCAGTTGTTGTAGCAGCACTCCGTTGCGAGTCAGGCTATTTGTCAGTCGATGTAGCAGCACTCCCTTGCAAGTCAGGCTATTTGTCAGTCGATGTAGCAGCACTTCGTTGCGAGTCAGGCTATTTGTCAGTCGATGTAGCAGCACTCCCTTGCAAGTCAGGCTATTTGTCAGTTGTTGTAGCAGCACTCCGTTGCGAGTCAGGCTAATTGTCAGTCGATGTAGCAGCACTCCCTTGCAAGTCAGGCTATTTGTCAGTCGATGTAGCAGCACTCCATTGCGAGTCAGGCTATTAGTCAGTCGATGTAGCAGCACTCCCTTGCGAGTAAGGCTATTTGTCAGTCGATGTAGCAGCACTCTGTTGCGAGTCAGGCTATAAGATAGTCGATGTAGAAATACTCCCTTGTAGCAGCAGGCTATAAGATAGTTGATGTAGCAACATTTACGCATGTTTTAAAAATGTTTTTTAATATAACAAAAATAAAAACACCACTAATTAAAAAAACTTTCTAGTCGTTATTATTGCGGTTTTTAAAATTTTTTTTAAAAAACAATAAAATTTAATGTACTTCCCCATTAATTTAATTGCTTTGACATTTCGACGACAATCAAATACAGCTTAAGAGACAAGGAAATTAAAATTGTAGTCGAAAGTGACTTTTTTTACATTAAAAGACTCTTTCGACTACACTATAAGGATTTATATATATATATATAATATATATATATATATATATATATATATATATATATATATATATATATATATATATATATATAAATAATATATATATATATATATATAATATATATATATATATATAATATATATCTATATATATATATACATATATATATATAATATATATACATATATACATATATATATATATATATATATATATATATATATATATATATAATATATTCATAAAAGCATATGTATGTATATATAAATACATATATATATGTATGTTTATTTATAAACATATATATGTATGTATATATAGAGTAAAAAAAAAGGTTAAGTATGCGTTACAAATCAACCTTTGTACTTTAAGGTTGTTCTTTAGCTCAAGGAAATACAAAAGTAAGAGAAAACAGTTACAAAAAAAATTATAATCAGACATAAAAAAAAAAGATTTATACTACGTCTGATTAGAATTCGTCAAACTGTTAAAAATATATGCTTCACATATTTTTAACACAAGTTTAAAACAAACTATAGTAAAAAGATTCAAACGATTTATTATATAAAACTACTTTTAACAAACCTTTGCATCACATTTTTTTGTATTTGTCTTAATGGTTTTACCTCCAATTTTAGAAAGTTTGTTAACCTAAAGGTTTAAGAAAATAATTACCCCACATTATTTTTATAGTACATTTACAAAAAGTAGATTAACTTAGGCTAAGTTATTAATAAATACTTTTTTAAAAAACAATTAAAAAAACTGCAAAAAGTCATGGTTTGAAACAACCCATCACTTCTGACCTCACCCAAGAATCATTTAAACTGTTATCATAATCATTAAATTACTGCTGCAAGTTCATCCATAGAATTTTCAGAACTTGTCATGATATTACTTTAATTACTAGAAAGAGTTTTTACTAACATCTCTTTCTAACAATAAAGATATATCAGAAAGACAAAAGAACCAAACATTAATTAATTTCTAAAAGGGTTGAAACACAAGAACAAAACATTTATAAAATAAAACATTATTCATAAACTAAATAAAATGTATTAATTTAGCAACCAATAAAATGTGTAAATCACTGAAGCATAGAAAAAAATGTTCAGAATCTTTTCTTCCTAAATCAACTTACACACAGACAATTAATACCTTGAGCTACAGTATGTGGAGTATGCATAAAAATTGTTTTCTGTTTCTTTTTTTGCGTTACAGGAGTAGGTACTTGCTTACTATTCTGTTGGTTATTATGTTTTCTCTTGCATAAGCATGGTAGTGGCTCCTATAAAAATTATTATCAAAATAAAACTAATAATACTTGAATTAAGTATCTTTTAAAATAGTTACCGTTTTCTGAATCTGATTCTATCTGAGTATCACTAGTAGTGGCAAATTTAAATTTATCACAAAACTCATGATCTTAAATACATTATATAATAAAGAATATATAATAAAGAATATATCTAAACACTGAAAACAACATAAACAGAATGATAGCATGTCATAAAAACAAGGAAAAAAAGTAATGACTTAATGTTTATATAAAAAAAAATTACATTATCTCCATGACATTTAATTTTGAGCAGCG